ACCGCCCTGGTGGTTGCTTTTGGGACTTCAGGGGTGACACTGTGACTCCGATCAACTCTGTGGAGAAACCGACCATTTAAAGTCACGAGGATCCTGAAAAGCAGGAAAAAATAACTCTGTCGTATGTGTGTGTGTGTGTCCTTTTCTTGTTATGTTTGTCGCGTTTGGTGTCTTTTTCTAAGACTGCACACATTGTTCTACTATATACAGGCGACACAAGGACGCCACTTGTCCCTTTGACTTTAACAGCCTCGCCACTTCCACAAAAGAATACCATTGCATATCATCGACGATGTTCCTTGGAGCTCGGTGAAGATCCACTAGTCTTTGGAACCATCCGCCAAGTGTGGGAACCACTCCAAGTGTGGCGACGTCCAGGGGGGCCACGTCCAGAAGCTCAACAGCTCGACGTCCGACAGAGTTCAGGACTCCACAAAGCAACTAATGGATGCTGTATCACCAATCCAGAAATGACAAGTCTGCAACGGTGATTGCCTTATCATTATATCATTATATAGTATACTCTATATATATATAATATATTTTATACAAAATATGTTTTTTGGTTGTCATTTTCTATTTAATCTTTAAGGATCCAAATCCTTCTCGTGCCTCAGAGGGCATGTGGATCATTGTCTGATCCATACCGGGTGCCCGGTCGGGTCTCATGACCTCCAGCGACCTGAGACACGTGGCCCGACCTCGGGAGGCGAAGCGAGCCCGTCTTCAAGAAGAGATGACGGTCCTTCTGGTGGCTCGGATCCAACGAGAGCTGAAACCATGCGGTGTACGCATACGAAGACCCAGGTGAATTGGAAGAATCAGACCGCCGAATGATCAGAATGTACGGATACGAATGTATGTGTGTACCTTGGTTTGCTACGAAGAGCTTTATTAATTTAGAGTTATAGTGCAATATATATTATATATGTACATAGAATATATGTATATGTAACAGTTGTGGAAGATCTCCATGTTCTTCAAGTGTTATTGTTTTGACATCATATTACATGTGTCCCCACTTTCATACCTCTTAAATATCTCTGAGGACAGACCATCAAGCACAAGCACAATGGATCGACGTTCAAAGTCTTCAACCTTTCATGTTGAACGATTTGGACTTAGAGGGAAAGCCCCTCAGCCACCTACCCACCATTGATTCACCAAGTCATCGGCGGTTGCAGTCGGCGGTTTCACCCACGGTCCCGCCGGGCACGAAATCAGGCACACGGCCGTCCGAGCACTCGCCGTGGTAGCAGCAAGGGCAGCAGCAAGACCAGGAGACCGTGCCCGGCTGAGCGTTTGAGGTGTTTGTAGCACCTGGGGGGG